TGTTCCACAAAAGGATGTTGTGAAATCCTAATAGACCCAATTTTACTACGTATTAGTCCTATGTTCTCATCAGCCATGCCATCCTTTAGAGAGAGGAGGTTCTCTGGAACTGGAATTGTTAACAGTTTTTCATGCTTACATGCTTCAGATATCATGATTCTGGCTACATTATTTTTTTGTATGTGGTAAAGTACTGCATAGAAAAATAAAGTTTAAAATACAGTCCTGAGCTGTTGGGTGACACTTGAATTCAAAAAGGAGCAGCTGCAATTTAGTTACATCAGCCCTCTCCTGGTATAGAGCAGACCGTGCTCCCTCAGGCAGTATCTCATGCAGGAGAGTTAGGAATGTCAAACTATACAGACAACATGGGAGAGAGCTGTTGCTTTTGTGCATAGGTTCGGTGGGGTTTGGTTTCTACATGAGCCCAGTGTTGCAGAGTGAAGTGATTTTCTGCTGTGTGCCAGATGCAGCATTTTCGTTGTACTTTGAGCAGTAGCCTTTTGAAATTTCATAGTTTTGAAGAGGAGTGAAGCTGTGAGGGAGCCCAAGCCTTGCCAGTTCCTCAGATAGCTGACATTTGCTGTGAACCTTTGAACAGCCTTTACAAAGACATCATTTCTGTGAGGCAGTGATCAGACCAATGAAATCTGAGGTGCTGGTTTTTAAGTTGCCTGAACACTACTTGCAGACAAAATGTATGGGGGCACATTGTGCTAGAATGATTGCATACGAAAAAGAAACTTACCTTCTACTTGAGCTTTCCATGCCAGTGTTTTCATTTGGCTTTCAGATTTGGTTCTGTGGAGTAACCTTGTTTACCACTCCTCATGCCATAGGTCTCAAAACACTTTACATTCATGGATCCTCACACCATGCCGGACAGATTCTGGTCTCTTAAGTTAATAGATGAGGAAATTGCACTGGTAAAAGCCACAGGTCTGCAAGTTATTCTTTGTAAGTGGGCATCTAGACGGAAAGATGAAGTGAAGCAACTCAAGAAACTCACTCCAGAGCACGTAGCATTGGGCCCCAGGGGCTCCCAGCTGCCTTCCCTTGGCAACAGCCATTTCCAGCCCTCAGCAGGTAAGGATGGAGTAGAATGACTTCCTTCCATTTTGCAATAGGAAAAGGGCTGGGACATCCCTTATGCAGTAGTTCTCAGGTTATGAACTGTTCTGCACAGCGATGAGCTGCACTGAGACACCAGTGAAGTGAGGGACCTTCAGTGTTTCAAGATCCAGTCCTTTAGTGCAGAATTGGGCACAGGAATCCTGGAACATTTCTGAGGCCTGATCGATAGCATTGCCATTTTTTGTAACTGATGTTGTTGTATAACCCCAGCTGTAGGAATCTGTGACATAGAGAGAGGCAGTTGCATTCAGAATTATAATCTGACATTGAACAGCGGCAGGTTAGAAAGAAACACAAAATTTCAGTGTATTTGCAAAAATACTTCCAGCTTAATGATGTTGGCTACTGATGGTTTTACTTTGACAAACTTTGAATAAGCTCTAGTGCCTTTGAAGGTGAAAGACTGATGATCTTCCTTGAAAGCAACAGTCTCCTTGGAGAGTTTAGAAAGCATGTATGCAATGTATGAAGAGTTCTTTAAAAAATCATCTGCATTTCAGAATATGACCTAATTCCTTGGTGATCCAAAGAGGTGATTTGAATGATGTTGAGAAATTTGTCAGAAAAATCTGTGTAAAGAAATCTAAGTTTTAATTATGTAAGACAAGGTACCTTTAATAATCCTCATCCTTGTAGAATTCAATTTTGGGCAACCTGTCCTTAATTAGGCACCACAGATACCTAGACCAGGCTCCAGAAATCTCACTTGCTGAGTGTGGAGTTGCATGAGCTATCCAAGAAGGAGTTCCAGGACTGAAGGAGAAGCAGAATTGCAAATTTAGGGACAGGAATCTGCCCTTAGGAACACAATTTGCACTAATATAGCATCTTCCACTTATAGACTTTAATGCTTTGGGGTCCCTGACACCCCTTAATTAAAATGGTGTTTTTAACCTTATTTTACTAGCAGGATATAAAAGTTATTTTATATAGAGTACTGGGTCTGGCTGGGTTAACCTGCAAGATACAGACCCACGGAAAATCCACAGCAGCTGGAACAACCATCTGTCTCTGGTTTTGCCCTTACACTTCAGTATCTGATGAGACATCCTAACTGGTGTATTATAAGAAGACTTATGGAAGAAATAATTAGAAATCTCAGTAATCTCCTTCAGAAGCTTCTCTCCCTCAGAGGAAATGGAGCTCTTCTAGACGTGTCCATGAGCCTGGTTCCTTAGCAGGGAAAACAACTGGCCAGAAACAAAACAACAGAAGAGTGTTTAACCTCTGGCACAGCTGGGCTGCTGCTGGCTGGAAGATGTGGGACATGAACACCGGTGCACAGCAGCCGGCACTGGCCCCAGCTTCCTGAGAGGATGTTGTCAAGTACAAATAAAATGGCACTGAAATCCTCTCTGGCAACCAAGTTATGGGAGATTTAAAAACCCTGGGTAACGTCGATCTCAAGTCACGGAGTTTCTTCAAAAAAGGAACTGGAATAGCGGATGCACACTGTGCCTGCAAATTCTGGTCTGTACGTCCATTTTCCATTATTTTGAAATGTTGTCTTTGGTGGGTGTATGTTCTGGTGGGCAGACAGGATTGCAGATGGAATCCTCTGTTTATAAAATGGGGAGAGCGTTCCTGTTACTGAATGGTGAAAGGATTTTCTATCCATTGTATTTTCCTCCCTCTGACAGACCTCTGCCTCTCCCCTTCCCGCACCAAACACACCCACCCATCCACCCAAAAGCAGTCTCTCCAGGTGGGTCCCCAGCCCAGGCTCGGCTGACACCCAGCGCTCGCTGCAGAAGGAGGTGGGGCTGCCACAGCTCCCTCCTGCCTTTCCCACTGACCTGAGTTCATGCTGCTGCTGCTGCTGCTTTGCCAGTGGCAGAGTCATCCCTGTGCAGTGTAATCCCGGCATCCACGGAGCATCCAGCAGCTGCCGGGCACCTGCAGCCCTCTCAGGAATTAATTTTTCTCCAAGTGGCTGACTACTCTTGTTTTAAGGCTACTGTTCTCCATCTCATCACAGAAACACTGTAAGTATAACTTTTACCGTGACTCTTTAGGTATTGCCTTTGTGAAACTCATCTGTCTTGTACTGAATAGTAGGAGTTACTAGCTCAAAGTCTCCATGGGGTTTGTTGTGGTCTCTGCTCCTGTTTGAGGTGTTTGAATGGATGCTTAGCATTTTAGTTTTTATCAGGATTAAAACATGAAATCAAATCAACTGAAAATGTTGGTGTCTTCCTGGCTGCCGTTTTCCTACTTTGCAGCTAAATTTTTAGTGTGTCCTTCCTCTAAATGCTGGTGCCTAGTGAAGTGGTAGTGAGAAGAGAAGCATTTCCATCCCAGCTTGTTTGCTGGAGCCAGTTTTCTAACAACTCAAGGAAGAGAAACTTTAATGCATATTCATAAGCTCTTGGGATGCTGAGGCAGGTAATCCTGCTGCCCACTGAAATGTAGCTAGCAAGTGAAGTTTTAGAAAGGAGTTAAGTTGGGGGGGATCTGTTGCCTCATTCCCTTGAGTCCCAAAGGAGGTGAGGTAAAGGAATACATGAGTTTAGGGACCTCAGATGGCTGCAGCAGTGTAATGGCACATTCAAACTAAAACCCATCCCAGAACCCTTAGGCCACAGCAGAAAGGTCTGTTTCAAACTGTCCTGTTTCCTGATGCAACTTGGTATGACTGTGAACTCCATGGTGTCACCTCAACTCTGTATTCTTATAGACTGTTCACTCAGATGTTGTATTATCTGTGGATTATCCTCTCTTTAATTGCATCATTAGATGAATGCAGAGAGGATGTCAGTGTGTAAACACTTCAAAGACATCATAGACTAACTTTTCATATTGCCAGTGCCCAAAGGTATTCCAAGTGCAAGAGCACACTTGCAATTCTGGCCAAGTGCCCAGTAAAATTTGCACATTGGCCCAAAACATTGCTGTATATCTGCACAAAACCTCACATAATTTTGTAATTGTATTTTATATTCTGAATTGGAAACTGTGGGAATGAGAATGGCACCAACAATTTGACATAGAATTGATTTAGGACACCAAAATAAGGGACACTGAGAGTCTTGACTGTCATCTTCTTCTTCAGACTTCTTCCTGTGTTCCCTTGTCTTTTGTTTGTTTTCCTCTTTATGTTTACTCTCCTCTTCCACTGCACTTTATCTTGATAGGAAGGACTGATAAAAAAATTTATCAGGTGTTTTAGTGAAGTTTTGTCTATATCTGCTTTGAGCAGATGGAATATGTATCATAGGGAAACTGCGGTCTTCTCAGAGGGAATCCATGTATAATAATGACTACATATTCTGTAGCATCTGAAGTTGTCATTATGCCTCCTGTACTATTGCTTTTTCCATCCCCAGTTGTCCAAATAGTTTCTGTGTTTTGCATATATGCTAGAAATAATTGTGCCAAAAGTTTGCTTAATCTTCTTACATAAGCCAGAAAGAAATTTGCCTTTGTCCGGTCTTGCAACAGCTCCTGAATGAGTTCATAACCTGCCTGTGCTCACTCAATAGAGGGTAACGGTCTGGTTTACTGTTCTTCATTACCACTGGAGTTGGACTGTTCCATGAAAGATTGACTATTTGTAGCTCTGTTACTTGTTTTCAGTCATTTAAAGTAGCATACCACAAATATTCTTTAAGCATTTGCTATTAATCTGATTTTATGGATGATCTAAGCACAGGAGTTTAAGGGAAGAAGTCTTGAGCTCAAGGAGCAGTTCTGACATAGGCTACGATCTCTTGAAACTTTATGCTTTAGGTCTTCGTGTTCTAAACAGTATTAATCATTTCTAAGTGCAAACCTAGCTCTGGCATTTGGGTTTATTGACTGGTATTTATTCCATGGTTTGAAAATAAATATTTTTCTGTATATATACATAAACGATCTTTTGGAGTATCCTTGAAAGTGATGTGAGAATGAACTACATAATGGCAGAATCACTGTGATTTTATACACTTTCTTTCAGGTATCCTCTTGGAGTATGGAATTTGTATGGAAACGAAGGTGGTATCTTCAGCTGGGCTGTATATTGGTACTGAATTTGGTTAGTGCCAATCTAGACTACCAAAAAGAAATTCCTGCAAGCCTGGGTCAGATTGACCACCAGTGCTGGGAGGTGTCGTCCCATGGGCTGGTGGAAATGAAGAAACTCAAGGTAGGAGATACAGTCATTGATCTCTGGGACTTCATGATGTTCCTAAAGGAATCCTCTAAGCCCAAGCACAATGAACTCTTCAACGATTTAGCCCAGAACTTCTGGGATATGTATGTAGACTGTGTGCTCTCAAGATCCCATGGAATGGGCAGAAGACAACTAGTATCTCCCAAATATTCTTCCACGTACTCACATAGAACTTTAGAAGGTAACTACATGGTGTTAGTCTTTTATGTACTAACATTAAACTGAACCAATGTTCCATCCTCGTCCTTGCTTGTTTAGACAACTCAATATAGTAATTTCCAGTTTTCTTTCTCTATGTCATAAGTATTTGCATCTTTCAATGGTAGCTACTTTCACAATACCTGAGTCAAAAGTAGTTAGGGTACTACATCTCCATATTTAACAAAGTGTAAAAAGTGATGGGTATGCATGTGGGAGCATGTGGAAATGGATGCTGCATTCTCTGTTTATCACTCTATGCATATAAATGACATTACAATACTAAAAGTTTCCTGGTATTTGGACTTCAGGCTCAACTTTGGGGAATCATCCCTCTGTGAGAAGGGAAGCTCAAATCCCTGATGGCTTGAACCCTGTTCTTCCTGTTAAAACTGTTGACACATAATGTGATCTCATGGTCCCTGTGAATCATCAAACAGTGACAAATTCTGGTCATCATGGTCTGGAATGAGTCTGAATTGAGATCATATAGGTGACTGGCTTTACATTTTATTAACCAATCCTAGATCTGCTGCTTTCCTTCCTCCTCAAGAATAGATGTTTTTGTGAGGTACATAGTCAGATGTTTTAGTTTCCAGACTGAACATGGAGATCATTTAATCCTAGTATTCCTAACCATATTGCTTGGAAAATAACCACCTTTCTTTCATAATCTTGCAGGGTCTGCTTTCACCAACCCATTTTAGGCCAAAAGGGGAAAAAACGAAGATACCTCAGCAAGGCAACATCAAAATGAAGGAGCACAAAAGCACAGCATATACTGTAGATGCTTAGACAAATTAATTGGCATGGTTCAACCTTTTCTTCTTTTTGTATAAAGTACTTAATCACTGCTAGACTGATATAAGTATGTGAGCTCCCACATTGTCACTTTTGCTTTTCTGTCTTGCAGTCTACCAACGTTGCCTTTTCCCCACTGCCTATGTGAATGCTTTTGTGTTTTGAGGCAACACCTTTGTTCTCTCAGTTGTATTTTTGTAGAGGCTCATCTTTTCCAATAATCCTCTTTTTTAGAAGTTAATTTTGATGGAAACTCAATATATTTTTATACATTAAGCAATGGAGAAAATGTCAACAAACATTTTATACAGCGTCTTGCACATACAATCAACTTCACTTTTAAGAATTGCAAAAAAGTGTGACATCAAGCTAAAGGGAAGGATTATGCTCATTGTAATGTCCTGTGCAGTCTAAACTTTGTATTTTATCACTGCTTAGTCTAGGCTATGTATTAATTAAAGTATTTTTCTATGCAGCAAGGTCTGAATAGTAGTCATTTTCTTGTCTATTAACATGTGATTTGTAAAACCACTACTGCATTACATTAAGAACAGTACTTTACACAAGACTGCTCTTGTGTATGCATTCATTCAGGTAAATAAGGTGATCCAGTCCATCCCTGTCATAGCAAGCAACATCACAGCTGAGAAGAGACTCATGCCTCAAGTGGTTTGAAGTAGTGAGAGTCTGGCTTGACTACTGCTCCCATTATAAGAAACCATTCAGCATGGATAAACTAATTCAGTGAGATTAACCATCTAGTTAATCCACTTCTCCTGAGCGCAGAAGGCCTGAGAACAAATGGGACTACTCGGAGATGCTGACTGTTCTCTTGCTTTATTCCTTGGGCAATGCAGCTTGACACAACACCCTGTTGTGTCCTAGCCTTTTATGAGATCCCAACTGGGTTTAATTATTGGAAGAAACAGCACTTAAACTGTAACAGCATATAAAACTTCAGAAGTAACAAGAAATCCATCCCACATAATGCCTAATTCATATATAGTTTGTAAACTATCCAGCAATTCCAACAGATTGGTAAATGTTCATTTAGGTAAACACACTATTGAACTGCATCTTGTAAAATATGTCTCCTACAGTATTTTGGAGAGGGTACAAAAGTAGTGACAAATTTATCTTACCCATGAATATCACTGTAAGTTCCTGATGCAAAAAATATTTTAAATACACCTTTTATTTTGAGCAAATAGAGGGAGTCATGATACACCTAAACCCAGCAGTTTCAGGAATTGGTACATTATGATGAGCAGCTATTTGAGAGCCATCAGCTAATCTGTTTCAGCAATATCCAGTTTATTAAAATGTGTACTATACTGCATTTGCAATAAATACCCTTGTTCACACCTACAAATAATTTAATTCATCACCTACAGAAATGTAAAACTGTAACAACACTTTAAAGGTAGTGTTTCCTACATTAGTGATCTTTTAACTGAATGCCAGAGCAAGGTATCCTATGCAGTTTTAAAAGCTTTATCCTCCCTCAGACTGCAAGTCTTTGTTTTCATTAGTTTTCTATAGGAGACCAAGGTGCTTAGCATCTACCATAATTGGCTTCAGAACGTCTGAACAATCCATTGCTATGGTCACCATGCAGTGTTTGCCAAAGGGGCAGGTGATAGTTAACGACAGGAATGCAGCACCATAAGCAGCAGCAAAACAAATTCCAGGTGGACATACCTGTTTTGCCTACGACAGAGCCATGGAAAGCCAGCTGGCTCCTCCTGGCATGTCTACAAGAGAGATTAACAGTGACTGGCTGGGATGGTCTTTCCCTCCACAAGCACTCAGCACTCCCTCTCTTTCTACCCCTGGTTTACAGCAGGAACAGCAAGCCCAGTTTTCTTGGGTTCCCCCCCTCCCCTCCGACAGCCACATGCTGGCTGGCAAAATCAAATGCTGCCTATGCTACTGTGAAGCCTTGTGTTAGTGTTCATTTATGAAGTATAAATATAAGCATTTTGGGAAATTCTGTCCCTTTCCTTCTCCAGTCTTTATTACAATTAACAAGAGCATTTCCAGCTACTTGCTTGCAACATCAGGGTGTCTGTAGCAGAAGCCCAATGCAGTTGGGGGAGGAATGCTGCGGGACTCAATTTGTGCCTGATTTAACATGTTTACATAAGCATAAATATAAACTGGTTTCCAGTCAAAAGTTCTTTTATATCCATACTTTGGCTACACTGTAATGGTGTAGCTTTTGCTCAGAAATTGGAAGGACTTACGTGAGTCTTTGTTTTTTCGGAAAAAAATGGGCTGGTGCCTTGCTGCCAGTAGTAATGAGTCACCCACACATTCACATATATGCAAGCATGAGAAAAACCTATAAATGTCACAGTCTTTGCTCTCCTAGTCAAATATTTATTGTTTGGTCTTAACTGTGAAAAGACAATGGAGCATACTTTTTGTGGCCCCAGTGTGTAGATGTATTTTCACATTCCCTAAAACAGTAATAAAGCCACATAGCTGCTGAAGAGCTGTCAGAGAAATATAAACATAAACAAATGAGCAAGGCTTTACCTGACACAGAGGACTTTAGTTAGATAATCTCTATATAACTTAGTTTACCTTTTATGCAGGCAGGCAAGAAATACACATACAGTCTTGTTTAATAAAACATACTTAAACTTTATGCAGATAATTTGGGGAAAAAAATATCAGAAATAAACCAGATTATACTTAAAAATTATTTTTATAGTTAGCAAAGGACCAACATAAAAATTAAATCACCATAGCCCGATTTAATTTCTCTAGCTTTAAGTACTAGATGACTGTCTTAATCTACAATGTAATGTTTAACAGACCTGCCCATAAGAAGATGCTTCTGATCTTTGGAAACTACACATGTGGACATTTATTTAAAGTTTAAGTACCATTTCAGATGGCTGTTTTATTTCATAATTTTCTTAAGGTTCTTCTTTTTATAGAATTTAAGTAGACAATTTTGAAACAAAAATCTCTGCCTTTATTTTTAATGCCAGCACTGCTATGTCTTGTTACAGGGACAAACAGACTTTTAATAAATGCTTATACACACCCCTGCCCCCCATCCCTCTTTCAGGAAGTAAAAAAGGGAATTGGAAACTAACTTCTACCTGATTAGTTCACATTTTTTTCCATTTTCAAGTTGGCATTTAAAAAAGTGAAAGCTTGTACTTTTCTCAAAACATTGCTTACAGGCAAAAATGACAGACTACATGCCAAAGCTTGTATGTGACAGAACCCCTTGCAATGTCACAGCAGTTTATGCCATAGTGCTGGATAGCGACTAGTTTTTAAAATGAAGTAACACCCTCAGGGAATCTTGCTATATTGTAATATAACAAATTCTGGCTTTGCCCAAGTTAGGAAAGGAGACAACAGCTTAGAAACTGAGTCATCTACAAAAAGGTCTGCTGCTTACAGGTTTGTGTTGGTATTCTAGAGGTGCCAGGGTAGAAGAGGATGAGTTCTTGTTGGAGACAATATGGGCAACACCACAAGAAATAATTCGAATAGTAAGATCAGTTAAAGAGCTGTGAAAACCCCATTTGGAGCAGGGCATTTCAGTGTGTGTCTCCAACAGGCTCAGAGCAACAGTTGGCACAGACAAGCTTCTTAGAAAGTCTTCAGATGAAAACTGAGAGAACAGAAGTCAGAAGTCCTGAAGGTAAAGGCGGCAATTCAAAAAACAAAATGGACTTGGGACAAAAAACACATGGGTACAGTATCCAGGAAAATGAAGAACTGAATATGTTTATGCAAGGGTTCATCACCTTGCTCGATGAAAGAGATACCTAAACTGCAATGTGTGGAATGTGTCAACAAGAGATGGAAATCTAAATAGTGAACCTACTGATAGTGGATCAGAGTAACCTGACACTAGCACACAAAATTATTAGACTCAACATACCTTTGTACCATGCTGTATGGGGTACTTTACAAATAAATCATTCCCATGGTTATATTAGTTAAGACAAAATATAATTTTACTCTCAAGATGTTCTATGCAATTCATCAAAGCATTATAAACGGATTTTATCTTGTATCTAAAATATGCATACAGTTAACTAAATTATTAAAAGCACTGTTCAGAATGCTATCTATTCTACAGGTACCAAATCTTTCTTGACTGAGTCCAACATTTTAACTCTTCTGATCTTTTTTAAGGCTCCTTCACAAACAGAGGGGTCTGTAACAGCCAGTGGCCCTCCAATTAATTGAGGAGGTGTACTTTCGACAGTTACTAAGCGACCAGATCCAATCTGAAAAACATAATAAATACATTGCTTGACATTCATGTTAGCATTTAAAATGAGTTGAGAGTTAAATCATGAACTGTCTTTCAAAAGTATTATTCAGCTGGTGGAGATACATGCTGAGATTTCAGACATCCACTCAAAATACCCTTTATACTAAATTCACAAATTGTTCCCATCAATACAAAGGAGAAGACAGAGTGTTTTTTCAGCAGGTACCTTTATCTACTCTGCTTTTGTGCCTTCATGTCTGATCTTATGAATAGAGGAAAAGAAAATCAAGCCTTTATTACAAAATAAGTTTGTTGTGCAATATTATTTGGATTTGTGTATAATACCAGCCACAGTTTTTGTCCTCAGAATTTCACTGTACATTAATACTTCAATGAAAAAAGAGGGAACAGATCCTGTTTCTCTCAGGATGCAATTCCCTATAACTACTGCTGCAGGGAAACCCCAAGACTGAAAGAGACATACACTTTCCAGTCTCATTACTACTCTTCATACTGAACAGGTTCAGGTCTTTGAGTAAACATCCCCGAGTGTCACCTCTGTCTTCTAACCATGACCTACTAAAATAAACAATGCAACTCTTTGAGTGCATGTGGCTCACATGTTTGATTACTTGACCTTGACTGGTTTGCAGCTACCATCTTAGCTTAATTTTCATCTCTCCCTACCAAGGACGTTTGGCAGAGAGGAGGAAGAAGATTGTTCCATGAAAACAATTTCCAGCTATACCTGTAATTTGTAATTCTTCTAAGCAATGTATCCAATGAATTTTATCTGATGTTGCTGATTTGTTTGTTTTCTTAATACACTTATTCTGCAAAATGGACTAATCTTTTCCTTGTTTTTGTCTACAGTTATTGAAATGTTGATTATAGAATCATAAAGATATTTTCTTGTTAAATCCTCTCCCTCCAAAGAAATGAATAATCTTGGTTTGAGATCCAAGTCTTTAAAATAAAATCTAACAATGTATTTCTCTCTAGTAACTATTTCCAGAATACTCTTATCTATACCTAAATTTTTCACAAACTTTCTGCAAAATATTGCAGTCTCACTGATAATGCACATAACTAAATCATTTTTCCAGCCCACTTCATCTTGAATCCACAGATATGTCCCTCCATATCCTTCAGAAGTTTAGGGCAAGATAACTTGATAAAAAACCTAGTCCAGCACTCTGAGATGATCCCCTTGCTTCCTATTA